TTAAATGTAATAAAATCTCTTCAACAACAGTCTAATTTGTTCTAAACATAGTTGCATTGCAAAGATTCTGTATTTTTATATCTATACCCACCTAAGGGTACTGTCCACATTGCATTTGTTCTGGAAGTTTCCACAATAGAGAGTGATTTGAATACGATTATGCAAAAAAATGTCTAGTAGTTTAGCCTAAGGCAAGTTTCCACTGAAATAACTTGAACATTTCATGTAGATTTTTCCATGTGTAATTTCCATATACGTATAATATCTCTTAAGGAAGTATGTTATTTCATCAAACACAGAAAATGGTCCTTCACCAGGTTCTCTGACTCTTAACATTTTGTTACGCTTGCATTTGTTTGAATACCCCCTCAATGATCTACATGAATTTCTACCCTTACTTTATCTTATCTTTCATGATAGGATGTTGGGTAGACTAGAAGTTTTTCTTCAGGCATTCTCCCAAACCCCTATTAGATCTGAGATGGTTGCCAGACAACCTTTAACTGCATTATAATCCCATGATCATTCTGAACCACATGAGCTACAGAGCCATGTCAGTCAGCAACACAACAATGAGTGCAGAAACTGTAAAACGAACGAAAGGGGCAACACTGCAGTCCCCAGAGAACCCTTGCTCACTCACTCCAAATCCCTGCCCTTGTTGCAAAGTCTCCCCATCATTTCTTCAAGTACCTCCTGCCTCAAAAATCTGAGAAATTGATTTTTCAACATCTCCTCCTACTCTGTCTGTCTCTCTTGTTCTTGACCAAGAACAATTCTCCTTCACACTTAGTTGGTGTTCTGTGCTGTTTCCAGTTACATAATTGTAAAAGAGGAAAATAAGCAGTTCAGGGGCAAAAACTGGGACCAAGATCATAAATGTTTGTGTTCATTTAAATGTCTCTGATACTCCTCAGAGCTTCACATTTCAGTAGTATTTAAGAGGAAGACACCCACCACTGCCTGCAGTTATCTCAATCCAAAATGTTCAAGCTGAATTAAAGTCTCTGGTTTTCCTCTTTGGACAACTTGTTCCAGTAGCAAGCATGAAAGTGATGCCTTTTATTGATTCCTTTACCTTTTATCCTTTAAATCTTCTATTGACCTGGTTACTAAATCCCATGGATTACTCTTTTAAATATACAATAATCTCAAAGCTTTCCCTGCAGATTAATTCAGAGGCTCATCAACTCTCATCCTAACTATCCAAGAGTTTGCTTCCTCCCTACCAGCTACCAGAGTAATTAGTTCCCATAAAGAACGGTGTCTAATGATCTGAAATAATTATCTTAGATGATACATGCAACATTTCTGCTCTATTCAATCCTCTTCCTGATGCTAACAATGCCTACATTCCAATTCTCAGCTTTCATAATCCTTACATTGAACATTTAGGTCTAGCCATGCCAAATTTTATACTTTCCCTGAAAATCAACTGTCTTCATTGTATTCTCCTCACTAAAATGCTTTCCTCTCAGAGTACCTCGCTGTCCAGGCTGAAAAATACTGGTCTGTTTCAGAAGGGGGTTTTAATAATTTTCCTTCCCTAAATCTCTTTATATCTGGAAATTTATTAGTTTATAGCCTTAGTTTAAAATAGAACTGGTTTTATTGAATAAATCTGCACTGCATATATATATATATTCATTCAAGAGAGGAATAGGAGAATAGGGAGAGAAATACCAAGAGAGAAAAAGGAAGGAAAAGTAGAAATGAAAAGAGAGAGAAAAGAGAAAATATGGGTTTATACTATATCATAATAAAAACTATTTGTGAGTATATCTATTTTTTATTTCTTAAGAGTTTTGAAATTCATTACTTTCTAACATAGATTCATAGCCCATGACATACAGTACGGCTTTCATCAAAAATGTTAAGGTTTTTGTCTTTTTTTCAGTTCTTGAAATTCATCAATGGCTAGTAAATCAACAATTGCTTAGTGAAATTACTTCTCTGTAATTCATTAATACAATGCGAGAACAACCTACACACATTTGAGGATATTATTATTATTATTATGCATAGCAACAATCAATGCAAATGCAGCCAATATAAATTGCAGTATAGTGCCTTTAAATAAGGGCTTTTATTTTGCTTTTGGATAATAAAAAGAGGGAACAAAAGAGAGATTTTTAATTTTCTTTCCTCACTGCCAAACTGAAGCTTCTTCCTTGGGACATGCCTGACAGTTGAAAAGTGCTTGATAACTTTAAAATATGCACATGTGCCTGGGGCCTACATTACCTTGGAATCCCCTGAAGAGGAGAGGTTGACTCTATTTACAAAGTGAAAATCAGCTCTTATTAAATCAAATCTCTCTTGTACCAGGCAGGGATTATGGCACTCTCACAGCTCGCTGAGTGTACGTGCCTTCAATCCCTAAGTACATTACATAAAATTTCCTTGAGAGACCTTGTCTCATGAAAACATGTTCGTTTATCCGCTGAAGAGGTACAGGGATCCCAGGAAAGAGGTTAGTTATATTTGGTCAAGGACTACAAAAGCGCCAACCAACACAGGGATGGTTTTCTACTTTTGTGTAAAAATGGGTAGGGACGTAACAAAAATCCAATGGACCTGGTCTGAAGTTGGTCATATAATGGATGTGTAAGTAGTATGCCATAGAATTAACTAAAGATGGAATGCTCCAAGTAAACGAAAGGATTCGGAAATCTGCTCTCTCTCTCTCTCTCTCTCTCTCTCTCTCTCTCTAGCTATAGTTTAGAAGCACAGAAGTTAGAACGACATTACCTAGGTCCTCACACTAGTTTTGAGATTCCAACTGCAGAATTATGAACACGTGACTTGAGTTTAAAAATGTCAGATTTTTAACTAATTCAAGAGATGAAAATTGCAATAGGAAACTCATGTCGATATTGTAAATATAAGTGAGCCTATATTTTGAAATGTTTAGTATATGTTTTAACAATGTTCATTTTTTATAATGCTACTCGATTTTATCAAGATCAGAAACATTTCAATATAAACTGATGGGCTAAAGTAAGTAGTCAGCCGAAAATATTAAAAAAACACAAAAATAGGTGCATGAGTAGTGGAAAATCACATATAAACACTGAGTGGTTCTAGAATTGTTTGCTATCACTTCTAATTTGGCTGCTTTTGTAGGTAGCCCTTAAAAATAACTTGTGGAGAATATACACTGATGGATTGACATGCTCAGAATAGGAGAGTCTTGTTAAGTTTATGTTCACTCCACAAGATCATCAATCACTTATTGAAATTAAAACTTCCCTATAAGTGAGAAACCTTGAATCAACCAAACGGGGGTAGAAAAGTTATTTGTGTTACTATTCTCAAGACTAAATGTAAAAAGTACAGAAAATAGCACTGGTAAGTGTGGCTGAGAGAAAGTTTAAGCTTATATATATGGCCTGTATTTTTGTCTTACATCATATTTCTATTAAATAGAAATGTTTTGATCACATTAGGAGTCTGCCTGAGCCACCTTTTCTTATGCTTTTATATTTGGCAGAAATATTAATATGGTTTTTGATGATGATGATGAGACTATGAGGCTGATGATAATGATGATGATGTCTTTATACAGATTAATTTTCAGGCTTCAATAATTTACTGAATTAGGAAAGTACTCATGAATAGTAGAACATTCTAAACCTTGTATACCTAATAAAATGATATTAGAAATTAAAAACTTAGTTTCACAGATGCTAGATGATTATACTATCAAATAACATTCCAATTACCATGACTGAATGTTCCCAGTGGTCAGATATGATTACACAGATTCATAATATAAGAGGCAATGTAGGAATTAAAAATCCATGAATTACATGTCCATCTATTATTTTTAAAGTAATGAGATGAAATACAGCATGGTCTAAAAATCCTAGAAATCTGTTATGTTATACAGCTGGATGTAGACATCAGTTTCAACACATTTCTGCCATTTCTAGTAATTTGGTCTTAATTTGACAATATGGCCTTTAAACTTCATTTTTCATGTGTAAAATAGAGGTCACAACATTGATCTGAGAAAGTTATTGTGATGACATTGACTGGGGCAGTAAGTAAACTGGTATAGTGGCCTATTAAAATGCTATTCATGAATTGAAATATTGTCTGTTTCCCTTTGTTATTGTTGTCAGCATGATTATGATTATAGCCATGATCAATGCGTTGAATTTTGTGTAATATGAACCAGAGATGCTGATTATAAATTTTAACTTATTAAAAGGAGTTTACTGAATACATGAATAAATCAGCCATAATATTAAAAAATGAAAACATAGTAAAATAAATTTTTTCCTTTTTTATTGTGAAAATACCATACAGAGGGGTTACAATTACATGGGCAAGTAAAATAAATTTTCATTTAACATTATTACCTTTCAAATGTCTATTTTCCAATGAATTACTCCAGTGAATATCCATAATGAATATAGCAGCACATTTTCAATGTGTGTAAATGTGCACAAGCACACACACGTGTGTGTGTGTGTGTGTGTGTGTGTGTGTGTGTGTGTGCACATATGTATGGTCCTGGGGTTTGAATTCGGGGCCAGCGTGCTGTCTTTGAACTTTTGTGGTCAAGGATAGTACTCTACCAGTTGAGCTATAGCTTGTGTGTGTGTGTGTGTGTGTGTGTGTGTGTGTGTGTGTGTGTGGTTAATTGAAGATAAGAGTCTCACAGACTTTCTTGGCAGGGCTGGCTTTCAACTGTGATCTTCAGTTCTCAACCACCTGAGTAGCTAGGACTATAGAAGTAAGACTATCTCTGTCTCTGTCTCATTCTCTCTTTCTCTCTCTCCCTCCCTCTCCCTCACCCTCTTCTTCCCTCTCTCCCTCTCCCTCACTCCCTCTGTCCCTGTCTCTGTCTCTCTCTCTCTCCCCCTCTTTCTCTCTGTTTTTTCATTTCTCTTGCACTGTTCCTCTTCCTTTTTCCCCTTCCCACCTTTTCCCTTTGTCCTGCAGAATTCTGGCCCTGCAGAACTGCAGCAGGACGATCCCAGGTCACTTACTCTGGGGAAATCGAGGCGGGTTGTCGTTGACATCAGTCAGCGTGATGTTCACAGTGGTGGTTCCTGAGAGGCCCCCCATCTGGCCGCCCATGTCTTTGGCCTGGATGACCACTTGGTACTGCTCTCTGTTTTCTCGGTTCATGTTTGGTAATGCAGTCCTGATGATTCCTTTGAAGAGAATACAAGTGATTTTCTTATGCTCATTGATGTATCAATTAGCTTCTGATTGAAGACAACATGTAATGTTTCGTTACCTTTTTTTTTTTGTGTAAAAATACCGTACAGAGGGGTTACAATTACGTGGGCAAGGTAATGAGTGCATTTCTTATCAAGCATTGTTGTCTTCTCCTTTGTTTCCCCATCCCTTCCCATCCCTTCCCATCTCTGCCCCTCCCCTAACTCCCCCTGCCAAAGTTGTAAAGTTCATTAGTTCATTTTCGACATAGCATCTTGTACATCTCATTGTTGCAATGAGTCCACCTGTATCCCTATTTAAACAATTTGTTTTTTCCCTTCCCCTCCACAAATTATATCAAATCAAATATAGTGAAAACAGGGTTATATCGTGGGGTAGTATAGTGAAAACAGGGTTATATCGTGGGGTAGGGATGTACAAAACAACAAAGAAATATCTTATAAATATGCTAGACACAATAGCAAGAAAGAAAAGAAAACATTTGAGTCCTTAACTTGGAGTGCATTTCGCTTAACATCAACTTATCTCAGACATATGCTAGTTATTGCAAATAAGGGAAACCATGGGACCTATGTTTCATTACATTTTTGTCTAAAAAAACTAAAAGAGATTTCAGATACAAGACTTTGAAGTACATGTTTATTTTTAATTTCTTAATAAAATATCTATAGTGTGACAAAAACTTGCCTTTCCACTAAACTCACTTATTCATTTAATTTTGAATTTATAAATCTTTAAGTATGTTAGTATCACTCTTTTGTGAATGTTTACTTACTGATTGTTCTGGAAACTGAGCCCAGAGCCTCATGCATAATAGGCAAGAACTCAGGCACCAGAGTCATGTCCCCAAACTTTATGTACTGTATTTTTGATTTGGAGATGGAGCCTCAGTAACTGCACAAACTGGCTTCAGTCCCATGATTCTCCTGTCTCCATCTAGCATGTAGTAAGAGTTACAGGTATGCACTACCATGCCTAGCTCTTCTAAAAGTTTTAATGTGAAGTAGTGTTATGTTCTTCGATCTTCTTTCTCCTTATAAACACCATAAAGATAATTAAGTTGGCAAATATATATTAATTCTTCCTGACCTGTTTCAGGCTCCACAGAGAAATAGGGCTGCCCTTGAAGAATGCTGTAAATCACTCTGGCACTGTTCCCGTAGGATGGGTCATCGGCATCTGTAGCTGTGACTTGCACCACAGAAGTACCTGAAGTATCCAAACTCAGCTTAGTTCTGCACAGCACCAGAAGGAGGAGCAAAAGCACTGGTTTTCATGGAAGACTTGAATAATGTTTGGCTTTACAACTGACCTCTTAAAAAAAGCTGCTTCATATATGTATATATGTATGTATGTATGTGTACATATACAAGTATGCATATATACATATATATTTGGGAAAATAATATAAATATGTCTGCATGTTAAAATAGGCAACCTTTGAGTTTTACTCCATAATGTTCAGTTAACCTCTATGAAATAGGCAATTCTACATATTCAGAATATAGTATATATGATCACTTTAGAAAAAGTGTTGTTGTTGGATATGTAAGTTCCTTTTCACATAATAGATTTGTTTTGGGTAAAGAGTAGCCTAATCACAGGGGAATAAGTACATTTTTTTCTTTCTCTCCCTGTGCACTAATTAATTATAAAAATAATTAACAACTGCTCTCAGATACAATTTTATGAATAGATTAATTTCCAAATTTAGAAACAATCTAAGATGATCCCAAGTTCCATGAACTAGTAAAATCTACCAAACAAAGTTCATAATATTTGTAAGAGTTTTATAGTCAGTATTCATCAGGAAATCCTTGGGATTTAAATAAATTAAAATTAAATAACAATCCCAGACCAGATAATTTTAAGAAATACATAGTTTGAAAATTTGCAACAGTGTTACAAGTAAAAGTACCAGACTTCATTAGTTTATTCAAATTCATTAATTTAAACAAATTTATATGCATGTGAGAAGTGTGTTTTCTATTACATTCAAATACCTACCTCTCAAAATTTATTTCTATTTCCTGACATTTTAGATTTTATCATTTTCCGTTTAACTAATATGTTTTAACATTCTTTTCCAGTAAATATATTGTATTGAAGAGAGAAATTTCATATTGTGAATATTATAGCCCTACTCTTTTTGTGTCTTCTATTTTTTATTTTTCTTTATGTTTCCTGTCTGGATATTTGAATTCAAGTTATCTTTGTTTTTAAGTTAGCTTGCTCAACTGGTGGTATATCGCTCAAGCCATTCCCCTAGTCCAGTATTTTGTTGATTAATTTGGAAATGCAATCACTTGAACTTTTCTGTACAGGATGCTGTCCAATAGCAATCCTTTCTATTACAGGGAAGTGAGAGTTACTAGAATGAGCCACTGACATTCAGGATTCTTTCTATTTTATATATTCTAGAATATAAATTTGTAAACATATTCTGGAACGTGATTGTCATGGGGTTTCAACTGGTTTACTTGAATTGGAAATTTATAAAAACAAATCTATACAAATTATATTATATAATATTTATCTTATAACATCTTACAATTAGTATATTATATATTAAGATGCGTATATACATATAAAATTATAAAGAAATATTTGTTAATAAGAACAATGAATTAAATGAGCTAATCAGGTTTATCATCTGAAATGGACAATCTTACAAACTTCTTTTTATTAAATAGTGAATGCTGCATGTGGACAAAACTTGTTATTACATGAATTCTATTCTTAGTTTAGCATTGCCAATTCACAGCTACAGTTTTGGCATCTTGGCATCAGCTATGCGGGGATTGAAAATACATTGTAAAACAAAAATGTCTACTAATCGTGCAAAAATGTCTTTACATTTTCCTAAACAATACATGGCAACAACTATTTCATAACATTTTCATTGTGTTAAGATTGAATGTTATCTAAAAATAATTATAAATATGTGTGGGGATATGCATGTTATAGGCAACTGATTATATAAGTACTTATGAGGTTATTGGCACCAATGCCTTTCAGTCAGCAAAGAATGTCTATATTAATATCACATTTAGGATCAGGATTTTATGAATTCCCATCTAATTATGAGATAAATATATTTGCAGGCATCCTTTTGTTATTTTGGAGTTCTCTCTATGTAGTGTAAAGATTTATAAAATCATAGGAAGGTCAAAATGCACTAATCTTTCTTGGCCTTCATTGTTTCCTTAACTAAAACACCAAATGTTTACTCTCAGTAGGTAATAAAATATGTAATGTGGGCCAGGAAGGTGGCTCAGTGGTAGAGTGCTTGCCTCGCATGCATGAGGCCCTGGGTTCGATTCCTCAGCACCACATAAGCATAAAAAGCTGGAAGTGGCACTGTAGCTCAAGTAGTACAGCACTACTAGCCTTGTGCTAAATAGCTGAGGGACAGTGACCAGGCCCAGATTTCAAGCCCCACAACTGACAAAAAAAAAAAAAAACCCACACAAATAAAAACATAATGTCAGCTAATCTATCCTGAGAATTTCTTGAAATTATTTTCCAGCTGTTTTAGAAATACTATAAAAATGGCATAAATGAACTTACCTACAACAGACATTTCAGGCACACTAGCTGTGTAAATTTCTTCTGGGAATGTTGGCTCATTGTCATTAATATCATGGATTTTGATCACAAATTCAGACTCTGGCTCTACTGGCCTCAGAGTTCTTCTGTTAATAGCTTGTGCACGTAGAGTATAAAAAGCTTTCTCCTCCCTATCAATCCTTCTTGTGGCATGAATATCACCTGTTTTTTCATCAATAATAAAAAGAGTTCCAGCTCCGTCTCCAGATAAAATATATTTGAGCGATCCATCTCCTTTATCTTGGTCTGAATGAAGCTGGAGAGAATAAAATGAGCATATCCATGATAAGGTCTACTGGTATATAATGCTGAAAGAATTCCTTCCATTGAGTAAGTTCAATCATACTCATTCATGCACTGTATGCAGTAGAAATAGCTACCCTCATGTGAAAAAAATTCTTTTAGCATGGTGAATAACCTTTTTCAAAGAGAAATAAACACTAATAACCAATAACTGAAAAAAAACACCAAGCTGTCATGGTACAAACACTGTTATTCAATATTTTTGTGCAAATGAAAAATTCTTTTATTCTCATATTTCGTAGAAACTTGGACTCTCTTAAACTTATTATTAATTATCAATTAATGAGAGCTTAGAATCTGTAAAAACTGGCAATCATGTATTACATCTAGCCCTCTTTTGCAATACCATGCATATAAAAGGCACTCATTAATGACATCACAGATGTGTGCAGGTCTCAAAGCAAGGAGTTACTCACTTGCCTGAGACTAGTGTATAAACTGAGTCCTTCAGAGTAATAAACACAGCACAATGCAGTGTTTTAGTTTGCATATACATCTTAGTCAAGTGTGTTTTTCAGCCCAGTGTAAATGCTAGAACACCAGACAGTGAGTCATAGTCAAATTTTACCTAAATTGTTTTCCAATAGCTGTCCAGAGATAGGAAAATTACTTGTTTTGGGGATATTTATCAGTGAGATTGCTATGCTGTTAGGTGGCCATCTTTGAGAGAAGAGCCTTCTAAGACTTAGAAGCAAACTTTCAAACTCAAGGATTTGGAGGGGAAGTCATGGATTCCAAGCACTTGCAGTTTTTCTTCTGTCCAAGAATTGGTAAACTGCCTCCTTCTGTTGGATTCTTAACTTGAAGGCAGGAGCTTAGCCAGAGGAAGATCACCAGCCAACTTTGAAAAACAAGTATACATTTCTCTTTTGCTGTGCCATTGAACCCATATGCTTTGTATCTACCAGTATCACAGCTTTATTTTTCATAATAAAATATCATGTTTTAAACCACTATTACTTATCTGATAATATTCATAATATATGTACAGTTCCTCTTAATTTATACAGATCTATTTTATCATAGAACTAGTTACATTCATGTTTTTCAATATTCATGAAGTGGTAGATAAATCAAAACATCAATGTTTTTCAATATTCATGCAAATGGTAGATAAATCAAAATAACTACACCAACCTATATCTAGAGAATTATGAATTAAGGATAGCATTCTTCATTTACATGAAAAAGTGAATGGAATTATACTGTTAATTTTGTTCTTTACATTACTTTTATCAAAACATATTTAACCTAATTAAGAATATACTATATTGCATATTTCTTATTTAAGTGCATATATATATGGATAATATATCTCTCACATAAGGATGATTGTTTATTTGCATGAAAGCAAGCTTAATGGGTAACAATGTTCAACAAGAAATGTACCTTATTCATGTAAATGTAACCACTCTGTACAGCATCTTTACAATAAAATAAAATTTAAAAAATGGAAAAAAGTTGTGGATATAAACAATGATTAAAATATTTTATATATGATGAATTATTACCCATCTTTAAATGTACAGAATTAACTCACTTCTTTAAAAAATATTTTGAAATTTAAAAATGGGTTGTATTTACCACTTAGCTGTCATCCTGCATGCAACTACATTTTTCTGATTGAAGTAAAAACAAATTTGTTACAGAAACAATGGATAACTAGTACACATGAACTTTTAAAAATGTAAAGAAACCAGGGAACAAATATATTTCTTAATACATTTTTACCTATTCAGAAACTATAAAGTAAAAGCAGAACTCAGGAAATATCTACTTCTAACCAGAAGTTGATGTCCAGTGAGCACTCATAAGTCACAAGACTGATTTTCTTAATAATTGGTAATGGCTGGGAAACCCATACTAGATGTAAAGGGCATATAGTGGCAATTCTCCCAATGGTAGATCTGAGCACTGGATATAGTTCTTACTCTGAAGTCAAAATATTTCAAGAAAGGATTACTGATGTTTGATAATATCAAACCATGATAACTGATAACTTCATGGCTTTAATAGACAGTTCAGATATCTACTATCTGTTCATTCAATATTATTCATTCAATAAAAAAATATGATTGCGGTTCTGTAGAAGAATTGAATCAGGAATGAAATGAAAATTCACAGGACAGCCTTTAACTAGGTCACAGGAATGAGGGAGGATTTGTTGAGCATGGAACTCAGAGCCTAAACTACCACAGAAAATGATTAGAGGGTTTAACTGGCTAAAAAAATCATATTGTACAGATTTTTCATTTTTTGAATACTGAGTGAATTTAGAACATAAATTTGGGGCAGAGAAAGATATAAGACAGGAAGAAAGTGATTCCAAGCAGTTTGGCTAGAGCAAATCAAGTATGTATGAAAACCATATTCATATAATGAGATTTAATTTTTATCAGGATGTGTTTTAGCACATAAATCACAGCAGGGTTTTTACCTGCACATATTCCACAGAGAGTGAAAATTAAATTCTGTAATTGGACCACATACTAAGGGAGTTTCTGTTGGATTAGGAAAATGGGTAGCAGGGAATCAAAGGAATGAAAGCTACAAGATAGTGAGTTTAAGAGTCAGAGACTGAAAGGATGCCTTCCTTTTCCAATAGGAATATAATTAGCAGATGCAAGTATGACACCTACAAATGGAAAACTTTCCTATTAAGAAACTAGGCTTACAATAAATGCTTCTCCCACCATTAGATCATTTGTTGATAATTTCCATTTTTAATTCTTTTTTTCTTACAGAGAAAAATTAAAAACTAAGTAGAACAATGATAACAACGATCACATTTGGGTTCTTGCTGTTAGACAATGTTTTAATGATCATTTTATACATAGTTAAGAGGTGGATGAATAAAAAATACAATAGACATTTATGAAGTTAGTTGAACGAATTGATATACCTCACAAAACTTTGGGTACAGCTTCCTCTAATGGATGAATAGATGGGTTACCTAAGCCAAATCTTAACAGACTTATTTATGTTGAAGTCTTCCTAATAATTACTGAAAGAAAACAACGGACGTGTTATTTAATTACAGTCTCCTTACTGGACTTTCTTTGTTCTTGTAAAATTGTCATTACTCCCAGTTTCTCTCTCTCTCTCTCTCTCTCTCTCTATATATATATAATATATATATATATATATATATATATATATACTTTCTCCACATTTGTTCTGATGTCTTCTTCCATTCCAACTCATTTACTAAGATTACAGAAGGATTATTCCCTATTTATGTCGATTTTTCATCACGTTATACTTTGATATTAAGCATGTAGTCTTGGATTCATTAAATAATTAAGTAATAATACAAACTTGCACAACATGGATAATGTGCCTCAAACTTTATAGCATCTACTCTCAGAGACATAACTTTTATGGGAATTTATATTGTGCTATTTTAAGTTTTCTTTAAGCATAGAAAAAATATTAGATTATTGTGGCTTTAGTTCCTTAGTAACACCTGTTTTCCGGTGTGAAACATTTGTGCCACAAATCTTTAAGAAGAGTTTTATGTTAATACTGACCTTTTCTTTCCTTGAGGAAAGCCTATTAAAAATTCACAACCTGCTGTGTTCCTTGTAAATTCACAGGCAGATAAAGGACATGGCAGACTACATGACAACTAATGAAAATAGAACAACTGGCTCTGCACTGCACATTTAAAAGTCATTCTCCTATTGCTTAACTTTTTCAGCTCATAGATGTTCAAATATGACTCATTACTGCATTGACTTATATGGAGCAGTTTTATATTTAAAACTAAGCAATCCATGCAAATTAAAGACATATATTAAACACAAATGATTGAATACATTCCTGGTAATCTGAAATGTGGCATGTTTCTGTTAATTTTCCATCATTTTCTATAAAGCATTCATTTTAAGATATTGCATAGAATAGTTCATAAGCTAAAGGAACAAGTTTCATTTTTTAAGTGGAATTAAGGATCAGAGACTACATTTCCCGTACTGTTTTTAGAAACTTATTTTAGCTTATTAAGTCTGTTAGTACTAATGACCTCATACTTGTTCACTCTGTGTTTGTGTGTGTGTGTGTGTGTGTGTGTGTGTGTGCACTGGGACTGGAATACAGGGAAGGTCTGGCCCTGGTCCTAGGCTTTTGTGTTCAAAGCAAACACTCTACTAATTGAGCCATACCTCTTCTACCAGTTTTTTTTTTTGCTGCTTAATTGGATATAAGAGGCTCACAGACGTTTCTGCGTTTCTGCCTGGGATGCCTTCAAACTGTGATCCTCAGAACTCAGCCTCATGAGTAGGAAGGATTACTGGCATGAGCCACTGGTACCCAGGTGAATTACTTGTAAACAAAATTAAAGTATATCTTGTAGTTCTAGAGGAAAAATTGAGACTAATGCCATATGTTGAATGCTAGGCTTCCTTGAATTTTTTATCCACCAATCTAGTCTGTCATTTTTAATGACAGCTTCCCACAAAGTCTGGAAATATGGGCAAAACATGTGTTAGCCTTTTTCCCCCCAAATTTAACGTGAATGGCCTCCAGTTCACTTTGCAGTAACGTTCTTGCTGCTATCTGATCTTCAGTCTCCATTCTTGTTGGTATTCTCTTCTTTGCAGAACCCACGAAAATCACCCACTTATCTCTGCTTATAGCATTCTAAGATTTTTTCTCCTAACTTTTCTAAATTTCTCCCGCAAACCATTCCAAATGCTTTTGAAATACATGGCTAAGGAGGAACCGAAACAACTCATTCTCATTTTAAGGCTCAGTTAGATTTTTTTGTGTCATTGTGACAGAACATGTGAGAGAAAAAAATATTACTTATCTTTGTTAGAGACCATTCAGTGTATCATCTTAGCAAGGGCATGGCAGAGCACAGTTATGCAAGGTGTGGCAACCAAGAACCAGAAGAAAGACAGGAAGGGCAAGATGCATCATTCACACACTCTCCTGCTCAGCTATACCCTC